ACGTGAACAAAGTTTTACTTTGAAAACTGAGAAATGTACGCAGTGTTTCTATGGTAACAGCAGTCATGGTAAACAGCCATGACTGACAGCAGCACACCTGTGTGTGTGTCTGTGTGTGTGTGTGTGAGTCTGTGTGTGTGAGAGTGTGTGTGTGTGTGTCTGTGTGAGTCTGTGTGTGAAGCAGATTTGTTCCTCGATGACGTCGTGGAGTCTTTAGTGTAAAACTGCTTCTTTGCTGATTATTCTTTTCAACAAGAACATAAAGACGTTCAGATGGAGAGCCGTACTGAGCATGTGCAGAGTAGGTTACTGTAGCTCGTTTCTGATTGAAGGAACTGAGGGCGTGGGCAGTAAAGAGTGAGCAGTCGTGAGCGTCACATCAGCTCGACGTCTTCAACCAAAGAGCTCAGAGTTCACACAAACGAGCGATTTATGCAGATTTAAGGAGAAACAGAGCGAGCAGTCATGTGACCTGCTCGGCCTGTGCGTCTTATATAAGCCCGTGTCCGGTTTCTGCTGCAAACATACGTGAGCGTGTTGGAGAAACACAGACGGAGGGTGACGACACGTTCAGTACCAGCTGATTCAGAAAAGTCTGACATGTAAAAACAGAAGCTGAATATTTCCTCTGAACCACTTTGACGTGAAGTAAAACCTGAGTGTGCAGGACTCTGCTGAGGCTGTGTGAGTGTGGCACACCTACTTGGCTTTGAGTTCAGCGTCCTCGTAGCCTTTATTGGAGACGTCGTCCAGGCCACCAATCAGATGCTTGAATGAGCTGAGAGGGAGGTGGAGAGAGCAGCCAATCAGAACACGCCATTCAAGATGTTTTTCCATGTTCATGCACACGTGCTTTTGCTCCTGTTTATCTGACTGACTCTGGTAAATGTGGGCAAACTGGTGGACTCGCTCACGTCGAGAAACATGTGAAATATAGGAGGTTGTTTATAAGCTACTGATGGGACATTTAAGCCTGTTGCTACGTGGTTGCTAGGCAACTTAAGGATACGCTACCTGATACAGACGCGAACCTTCAGAGGCCTAAGATATACCTGTGTACCAGTGATGTACCTGTGAGGAGTTTACAGACAAAGAGATGACCTACGTGGGTCTGCTGCGCGGATTCTAGCGCCCCCTATGGGTGGCACACAAACAAGGACCCAGTTTGAGGAGCTGAGAGCTGTGGATACCAAACAAGGTTCAAGTGGGACAGTTTACTGCAGAGTCAGTGCTGCAGTCAGACTGTCAGTAACAGGAAAGTGACTGACACTTCCTCCTCCTCTCTGTGGTGCGTTCACGGTGCACATGTCAATAAAGTGGGGGCTGTGACTCTACAGGGGGGGAGCGATGAAGAGCTGTAAGGACTGCTCAGCACCAGTTTTAACCTGCATTGGTATTTAAAGGAGGGGCAAATTTAAAGATCTCAAAAAACAAGCTGAAGTTGAATATTGTTGTTAAAAGGTTGGATGAAAGTATCAGGTTCACTCTGCAGGTCTTAATGCTCAATTCAGATTTTTTGATCTTCTCTATGGTCTTAAAATCTGGGATCTCGGCCATGCTTCACTGCAAATTCACTAAATGTTGTCCTTGGTGTGAGCTTCGCCTCCTCCATCATCCTCCTGAACTCATCTTGTTCTCAGCTTGTTCTTCTTCTCCTTCCTTTCCTCCTCTGCTCATGTCTTCACATATTGATCCGGTTTTTTTGTCTGCTCGTTCACACTACAAATAAAATGCGACAGCAAACGCGCTCTAGTGTGAACGCTCAAAGCGGCACACACAACGCGCTCTGTTTAGACCCAGAGCAACAGTATGTTTGACTGATGACCTTAATATAAAGACTTTGTTTCCCAATTTTCCTTTAAGTTGTAAAGTTATTTTGTTATTTACATTTGGTCTAACAATGATCCTTATTGCTGTTGCTTCTCCAACGCTGTCTTCCCAACAGTTTCACTGGATGGAAGCGTTCACGATGTCTTCTCCGGAGCTGATAATTGGCGTCTGTCTTGTGTCGGTGACGTAAAAGACGGATTTAATGCGACACAACCATCAAACAGCAGCTTTCTGAAACATCAGATATGTATCGGACTCAGCACCACATACGAAAGTGACCCAGATCAGATTTGAAGGGACGCCTGCAGCGTGAACGCAGCCTTAGTCAGTGTTGTCGAGGTTCGAAGAACAGAAGGACTTGCAAATAAGCAAGAATAAACTAAAACCACACTTTACTTAGTGGGAAACCAGAGCTCATGAACATCATCCAAAAACACGGGGCTGATAAACAGACACTGTGACTCAAGTGAAACTCAGGATGTATAAAGAAGATGTGGGAACAGACAACTCACTGAGAACGTGATGAAGGACCTAAAACTGAACAGGGACAAAAGACCGACAGCAGGCAGAGAGGGAACTAAATGAAAAAGACCTCGACGTGTACAGGAAGCACAGAGACCAGCGTAAAGCACCAGATCAGTGACTTTAATCCAGTGTTGTTTAAATGTCACCACAGAGTCGCCCCAGAGAGCTTTTACTGTAACAGAACTCATAGAGACCTCGAACACGCAGAGCTGGTTAGTTCACAGCCGTGTGGTGAGGTCTGCAGTGATGCATTTAAAC